ACGCGGATGCGGCCCCGGCGGCGCCTCGGCCAGGCCCGCCCCGACCTGCGCCCGGAGCCGCCGCCGCCGCGCCCCGCGTAGCCCCGGCCCTCGGCTGCCCGGTGCCAGACCCTCGCGTAGGCCCGGCCCGGGCCTCTCCTCCCCGCAGTGAAAGAGGAGGCATGTCCGCTGCCGCCTCCGCTGAAATGATTGAAACCCCCCCGGTCCTCAACTTCGAAGAAATCGACTACAAAGAGATCGAGGTGGAAGAGGTGAGTGAGGGCCCCGCCGCCCCTCGCACACCCCCCGCTCCCCGGGCGCGGCCAGCCTGGCCTCTCTGAGCGCCCCCGGTGTTCCCCTGCCCGGCGCCGTCCCACAGCCGCGGGAGGGGTCGCGGGGGCTCCCCGGGTGCTTCCTGGGACACCCCTGTGTACCTGGCCGGGGTTCTGTGTTCCCGTGGATGCTGCAGCGGCTGGCACTGGCGAACAAAGGCGGTCTGGCTGGGAGTGGAGGTGCCAACTTACGTCTGCCAGCCCTGGGATTTTACTGTGGGGTTTTATTTAAGCGGGATAGATTTATTTGGGACTTAAAATTTCGCCGCCCATTTTGCCACCCACTTTAGTATGGGTGGCAAACACTGTTGTCAAGCGTTGTCACAAGAGGGAACTGTTAATTCTGATGTTTCTTTGGGATCTCTATTTCTGTATGCCCCTGCTTTTGCCTTCTGCCACCATTGCACATATGATCATCATACCACTGTTAATGGTTTGCTAAATTTACAGCTCTATAAGCTGTAAGGATGAACAGATTTTTTTTCTTAACACAGGCTAATGATGTTGCACTTATGGATATATAACATTTTATTTCTGACCTGGGTATGTGACCCAGGAAGTAACATTCACTTTTTTTATAACATAGTTGAAAGCAAGTTTTTCTTCTGTAGAAAGTTTCACAGTGAAATTATTGCGTTAAATTCTTTGAGGCTTAAATGGGATGGATAAAGTACAGAATTTCAGATGTACCTGTCATCTGTCTGGGTTTCCTGTGAAATTAGGATGTGTGTGATCTGGGATAGTTTGCATGCTTTACTAAAGGGCTCAATAGTATGTATGTATACTATAATGTTTGTTTAACTCTCAAAATCACACAAAAATATTGCTGCTATTAATTTTTTTTCCTTCCTTCCCTGGTAAGTTCTCTGCAAGAATGAAGTTGCCTCATGTAGACCCATAATGAATTTGGTGAGGCCAGCTTGTACAGTCTGGACCTAACAGGCATCCAAGACTGCTGAAACAGTCTCTGTGCTTTTATTTTTAGATTAACATCTTTCCCTTTCAGTAATAATTGCCCTCATATTCTAAACAAGTTTATGTAGAAGTGAATTTAATTTTTTGTAGTAGCCGTTAGAGGTATGACGACCTGTGTCTCACATTTTTAAAGTAGTTTGCTAGATCCTGGTTTGTTCATAATTATCATACTGGGCTTACATGGGCTGGGGAGACGTCACAGAACATAAAATCTATAATGTTTCCATAGAACAGCAGGGCACTTTCAGCTGTATTAGTGTTTTATGGTAATTTTGGTTTTCACCATAGTAGGCACTGGCAGTTCTCAGAATACAATATCTTCCAAAAGATTACCTTTATCCCTTTTTATGAATATGGCAATCATAAAGATTTTTGTCTCTTTAAGTCTAATTGTTCCACTTCCCTTAATGCATTTAACTGTTCTGTATTTTTGCCAACCTTTTTGCAACACTTACTGATAGACAGTGATCAAATCACATGTTTTGGGAGAAATGGCTTTTCTCACCCAAAGAAGAAAATTTCAGTGGGTAAGAATTTGTCCATCATAAAACGGTGCCCAGGGATGGCTCACAGAGGTGAGCAGCACATCTACTGTCTTAGACATACCGCTTGGAATTAATAAAGAACTATACAAATCGTTACTCCTCACAACACCCTTGGGAAGGTTGTTAACAAGGATTATACTGCTGTTTTACATATAGGAAGTGTGGACCTGCACAGTGTGTGGCTCGAGTTTATCATTCTAAGGTTTGGCGTTGGGAGCTTGTCTGCATCCCACACACATGCCTAGCACCTGCAGAGACAGGACTGTATGCACAAAAATGTATGTACAGATGATACCTAAGTAAGAATTTCTTTAATGTGATTGTTGCATTATTCTCAAAGCAGTATGTCTGTTGGAGATGACAAAACTCATGTGGCATAAGCAGGAGAACTCTGATAATGTGTTCTCTCCGTGGAAAAATCTGATGACAGCTGGCATAGCCTTTTAAGTTACATTCAGTGTACCTGTCCTATGAGAAGTTCTTACAGGCAATGGAGATTCCTTGTGCTGAACACAGTCTAAATGTCATTGGACAGAGGAAGAAATAAGACCTACTTTACTGTAAAACAGATGAATTGGAGACCATACTTAGACCTTGCTTTTTCAGGTATGGGTGTTCACCTCTTACTCACGATGCACTTTCAGTGGAAGTAGTCAACTTTGCAGTCATAACAAAACATACATCCTTTCTGAGGATTTTCTGTGCTCTCACTTCAGGCTCGGAAGTTTTCAAGGATTTTTAAATGGCTGTAGTGACTCAAAATGGTCAGATTTATGCTTGGCAAACTTCAGGTGTTTCAAAATGGAGTGTCAAGAGGTCTACACTGGAAACTCAAATGCTTTTATAATCATAGCTTTGCTGTTGTATTATCGAGTCTGTCTTGTCAGCAGATAGCAGTCCCACTCTGCCACTGGTTTATTAATAGATATTGAAGTTCTGGAATACTTGCAGGCCCTGAGTCCTTGCTAATAAATGTGAGATCTATAAGTGCACTTTCATTTAGATTTGCCTAAACTCTACTGGATAATATAAAAATATACCATATTTTGCATTAGCTACCATGCACATGTACTCTGTGTTACTTCCCCCCTGTTAAACGTGTCTCCAGCTTCAGGCTGCCTTTTTGTTTTTTCAAGTTCTTAAAATGAAGTAAAATGTAGAGACAATTATGAATGAGTTGGAATCAAATAAAAATTGATATGACACAGTAGGAGCATCTTCAAAACAAGAAGGGTAAAAACAACATAAAACTTGTGTTCAGCCGAAATGTTCCCTATTTTACCATGCAAGTTTTTGACTGTGGGAATGTCCTCGCAAGTTTTTAGGTATTAGATAGACAGATCATTAGAAACAGAACAAATAAAACTTAATATAACTGAAATCAAGGTAACAATAACAAGCCTAATAGCCTTATTTTAAAATCTCATGTTTAAATCTAGCCTAAATACTCCTGCCTCTTCTTCCCAGAGGAGCTTCCACATCTAAGCAACAGACTTCGGTTTTGAATTGTTCTGGCAACCTGCTCCCTGCTAGTCTTTCCTGAAAATTCCACAGCCCTTCCTCCATTATGTCACTGGATAACAGTGCCATACATGACCAAAATGTCGACTTCGTCACATGATGTTGTGTATGCCTTGTATCGCACAGTCAAAGGTACATGTCTGGTCATGTATGCTGTGGTTCTGCCCAGCCACTGGCTGATTTAGCCAGGTTGAAAACCATTGCTATATTTATGCAGTTTCAAGTTACTTTTGAACAGTGTGGAAGTGTAAATTATTTGAAAACTGTCATTTGAATACTGCTGGTATGTTGCAGTCTACACTGATATTTATTTTCAACAGTATGCTAGGGCGACAGTAGTTAATTCTAAGGGAATTTAGGGTAATGTTTTCGTAAAGATGGAAAGCTAAACTTTGTAAGTATTTATTTTAGAAAACCTGCTTAAGGTCCCAGCAACTAAGGAGATGCAATTTATGGCACGTTCACACAGTTGAATAATTTCGTTAACTGAGTAGTGTGCTGAGAACTGCATTTGTTCCTTACAATTATGGAGCAAAGCTGTTCAGAGGCAAGAGAATGAGCAATACAGTGAGACAACTGGGTTTTGTTCCCTTTTATAGCACTTAACTTTCAGAAGTTCATGAGGTGTGGTGACTGATTATGTCCATTACACTACGAGGAAAAGCTGATATGCATAAGCTGCTGCTGAACATGGAGTTTCTACCTCCATTGTTTTTATGTCCTGGGAGATCATGTCCAGTTGTAGAATCATGATTCATGGCTAGGCTTCACAAACGAAGATTTGGGAAGGGCTCTACCCACATTTGCTACAAGCGCGGTGGTAGCTAAAAAGGCCAATGCGAGATAGACAAGTAGTTGTAGTTGTAGAATACCGATCTGCAAAACTGTAAGAAGTTTGGACAAGAACTGCAGGTGCGATTTGAGATCTGAACAGTATTCTTGGGTATTTCATGAGTACAAAAGGATTGGTCTCAAGAGCCAAGGCTGGTAGTTAAGAATTCATTTGAAGTCAGTCATGTTTCTCAACCTTTTTCAGTAAATAAGACTTCAAGGTGCTAAGTTGAGCATCCCAAAAACAAAGGCAAAAAATTAGTACATGGTGAAAACGTGCCAATATTTTCTCTGATTTTACTCCAAATAAATTCCTGATTTAATTCAAGACAATATTTAAATTTAGTTTTGTTACACCAGTGGGAGGTTCTCTTCATTCTGGGGTGTGAATTTATACCTGGAGTTACGCAACACCAATTCCATGTGGATGAAATGTGCAGTGAGTTAGAGGATGGCTGAAAAGCTAGTGAGACTGTTAACGTGAGACTTTACATTTATTTCTACACATGCAGATACATAGCAGATATATTCAATGAATCAGTTTGTGTCCTGTAAAATAAGCTTATATTTTACTCTCCTAAAGGGCACATGGGAAAGAAACTTCCCAGGCTTTTCTATTTCAGTGATGAAAGCGAGATGCGTATTTATGAGATAATAATGAAGTTCCCTGTCTAATGCCTTTCCCTAAGGAAAAAACTAAAACAGAACAAGTTTCACATGTCCCTTGTTTATCGCACCCAGTGGATTCTAGCAGTATTTGACTGACTGTAGAATGATTATTTGTTTTTCAAAGACCAGTAATTTTAGACGGCGCCAGCTCAGCAAGCCCAACTCCTGTTGGAGTCCTTCACCCCGAGCGCCTCAGTACCCAACATTTTATGTCTAAAACTAGAATCTGATGTCTCGGCTGCTGTAACAGAACAAATTGATTCATGCTAAAACATCATTAAGGGATATATTTTTCCTGTAGTGTTTTGCATAACTTAAAAGTTGAAACTTGGAAACTAAATCTAAGCTGAATGACTTAGTTTACTTAAAATTGGTAGGATTGCGTACAGGGGTTTTGGG